AGGAACACCATCAACCCAAAGAATGGAGCAGCCTCAGATATTAATGGCTATGTGAGAAATATGTTGGCTAGATTTGCTCCAGGTGGGGACAGGTTCAATGTCCCTAGATTCATGTGGACTGAGTTGAGATTTGATCTGGAGGATGGGAGGAGGGATTTGTCCTATGCCCCTTACCTCATGTTCATGATTGAGAGGGTCACTAGATTTTATTTTCCAAATGATGGGATGCACACTGTCTACAAAATTGAGAAGACCCAGCCAGCTGTAGCTACTCAGGGAGCGGGGATCTCTCATGCTCATGTAGATATCCATGAGTCTTCCCGCTCTAGGTCTCATAGAGGAGGAAAGATGAAGAAGTTTGGCAAGTGGTGGAAGGCAATCTTTGGCAAGTGCACCTATACAGTTGATAGAGCATATGAGACATAGCTTGAGCAGCGTCAGCAGCGTGGATATGACCTTCCACCACTTCCTCCTATTCCACCTCCTCCATAGTATGACCTTCCAAGTCTCTTTGATACAAATTTAGATGATGAGGATGATGAGGAGGAGCAGGGATGAGCAGCAGATTGGGATGAGACCCTAGAGGGATACCATCAGAGACAGGAGTCGAGGTGTTCCACTCGCTCCACTCGCTACACCACCACTCCTCACTGTCAGGGCCGTGCATATATTGACTCCGATGACGATGATGGTGATGGTGGTGCCGGGACTGCTGCAGGAGGTGATGATATTGATTGGATGGACATCCAGGGAGATGACGAGTAGGTGTTGATCTTTCTACTCTCTTCTCTTTTTGGTACTTTATGCCAAAGGGGGAGAAAATTGGAGGGGTCAACAACTTTTAACTTTCCGATGCCATGGTCAGTAGCTGCACTTCATGTCCTATTCGATGAGTGTTAGCCTTCTCTAGGTGGAAAGTTTGAGAGTCGCTCAAAGCTCTAAATTGTAAAATAATGCTACTATTTGACTCTTTATGTATCGGATATGGACATGTATCGTTTGTGTGGATTAGAAGTCATCTTATTGTGCTAGGTTGCATTTTTTTATCTGAGCTAGCTGTGTGGCGCTTGACTCTGTCTTGCTTGTACAATCAGGTGCGGTAGTGCCACACTCAGCTGCAGCAGCAAACACATGTGTGCATAAACTGTCATACGCATCACGTATATATTTTCTTGACACAGTGTGTAGCACCCCACAGGAGCATGGATGTAGGGAGAGCCTCATCACTTTCACTAAAATGTAAATCTTGGCTTCTTGTGCCAATTTGAGAATTTAATTCTCTATTCACATACTTTGGGGAGGCTCTACACTCGTGGCTCGAAAGTCTCAGTATTTATTTCATCTTTTGTAAGCTCTAATTGGGTTGTCATCAATCACCAAAAAGAGGAGATTGAAAGTGCAATCAAGCCTTAAATGTGGGTTTTGGTGATAATGACAACGCAATTAGAGAACTAATGAGATTTCTCAAGATGACAAGCAGAAAATTTATATTCGAGGATGCTACACGGAACGGAGGAGTCCCCAATTACAAATGTAGATGGTTTCAAACTCAAAGGAGGTTTAAATTCTTTTATATATTAAATTTGAGTATAGAAAAAGCCGTACTATAAAGGGAGGCACAATGCTTAAGCTAATATGTGCTACCAAATGCTCAAACAACCATAAGCATCCCCAGATTTATAGCCAAGACAGTCTGTACTTCACTATTACCCTTGTTGTCTTGCATGAATTATTGTCCTGGTATGAAATATGGCAACCAGAAGAAGTGGACAACGAAGAAAATATTGAGTTTTAATAAGAAGAGTCAATACAGCCTCAGTTCAATATCAATATATTCCATGTGTTGATAAGGTGCTATCAATAATTCGGCTGAGAGAAGATAATACTATATGCCAGAATTCTTGGATTGATGTTTGCAACATCAATCACTCGGGCGTGGAAGACCATACCCAGAAAATTCCAAAAATATATGTGAAGACAACATGTGTCAGAGGACAACGTAAAAAATATACAGTTACCTTACTGTAGCCAGGATAATTATTAAGGATCGCAGCACCGCCTAGCTGTCCAGACAACAGTAAAGAAGAAGAATTGAAGACACTAGAAACTTTCTTAAGCACGAAGGCTCTTCCAGAAGATAGACACGAAGAATGCTCCAGAAGACTCCTCCTCAATAAGAGAAGAAGTTGGGCGCATGCATTCGACACCACAAAGACGACGACTACCACTAGCAATACCTCCACCGAAGCCACCACTCCACTTTCCCACATACACCATGAAAACCACGATCTCAGGAGCACTCTGAGTTCGTCCACCCTTAGTAATAATCCTCCACTACCATTGTATTACTCCACCACCGTTGTAAATTAGAGAATAAAGAAAGTTCCCATGATCTTCGTGCGCTTGTAAGGTAATCCCTAAGGTTTATGCTAAGTGCTTGGGTTTTCCGAAAGGGAAAGCCGAATGTAAGCTTGTTCTATGGAAATGAATTAAGCTTTCCTGTTTTAATCACCGTCTTTCTTTAAGTTCGTTCATATGGGACGACGTCTCTATGCTATGGACCCTAGAGGAGGAATATCTGTGTGTGTTGTTCTCGTGTTAGCCCTGGTAGCGATGTTTGTAGAGAATCCTGTGTGCGCAGAGAAGTGTTTCCTTCGGGTGAAACTGCCTGAGGAGACGATAGAGCATGAGTCATATGTGTGTGGCTGGGGATAGTAAGGGAGAAGACCGGATTAGCCTAGTTCTGAAGCGAGCCAGTGATACATACGGTGAGTACCGAGTAGAACTGACATAAGCATAGTCGCACAACCAGTTGAAGCTTTGATCTCGCCAGCCTACAAAAGATTCTAAGAATTACACGCATACTCCTAATCCGCATATAATAATCACGCACGCGTCCTGCGTCCACCACAAGTGCCCCAAATAGTACCTAAATAGTGAGGAAGTTTGGGTGCCTGAGCCACTTCCGGGTGGTGCTAGTGCACTGTTCATATCCCCCATATTTGAATAGTAGCAGGTATTTTAAATAGTGCCACGAATTTAAAGAGTAACCTTTAAATTTAAACAGTACTATGAATAGTACTCAAAAGATTTTAAATACGAATTTTGAGTTTGAGTCCAAAACTATAGACCCATTTTCAAGTTATCAAAAAGTATAACCAAAACAGGATCCAACTCATTTTCACCCATAAAAAAATATAGCCACTTAAAAACTCAAACACTTAAACATATTTTAGCCTAACTCATACTATCTCTATTCCTGAATAAATAATTTCCTAACTTAAAAATTTATCTAAGTTTGAATGATCTATCTACAAATAGATCAATCTCTAGAAGATTGAATGATCCGTCTATAAATAAATCAATCTCTAGAGGTTGAATGCCACAAGTTTATTTATTTTGCTCAAAGTCTCCTCATATTTACTGCACCCTCCCATGTCTCACTCCAATGTTTCGTTTCTACTGTTGAATTTGTATAGTAAATATTATAATTACTTTAATTATTAGAACGATCGGTATGCAACACCCTAGTAAATGAAGTAGTATGGTCTCTTCTCTGTTATACAAGCATATCCTAAACTTAGTAAGGCCTTGTTAAGTTGGCTAAAATTTAGAAATTGAATTATTGTAGCACTTTTATTTTTATTTAGCAATTAGTGTTTAATCATGAACTAATTATACTCAAAATGTTCGTCTCGTAATTTTCAACTAAACTGTGCAATTAGTTTTTTTTCATCTACATTTAATACTCTATGAACGTATTACAAGATTCGATATGATAACTACTATAAGGGCAGGCCCAATGGTGTATTGATGATGGTTTATATCCTCATTAAATGACTTGCCACGTATACAAAACGCTGACATGGCAACGTAATTAATGAAGAAAGAAAGAAAAAATCATAGAAATGGTTTCCTCATAAAGAAATCAGGTCTACTTTTGACCCAATACACCCAGAAATCATGAAATCGCTATTGGGAAGAAACCACCAATTTCTAGGAAGCTCATGTCGCACTTCCATTGGAAAAAGAAGATAGAGTTAGAAAAAGAGAAAATAATTATTACTCATAAAAACCATAGGTTGAAAAAGTAAAACTAACTTGTTTGAATGGACGGAGTAATAATAGTGATAAAAATTTGAGATACTGTTAGGGCAGTCCCAACGAAAGAAACTAGTAGTTTCTATAACATAGGATACCGCACCAAAAAAGTACTGCTTTCCAACCCATTGTTTTTATGAGTAATAATTATTTTCTCTTTCTCTCTCCCAACTTTATCTTCCTCCTTCAATGGGAGTACGACACGAGCCCCATAGAAACTGTTGGTTTCTCCCTGATAACAATTTCATGGTTTCTTGGCGCATTGAGTGTTTCTTCATGAGAAAACAATTTCTATAATTTTTGCTCTCTTTCTTCATTAACTACGTTGACATATCAACATTTTATCTACATAGCAAGTCATTTAATACGAATAAAAACTATCATCAATACACCATTAATACACAATTGAAACTGCCTTTAAACCTCCGAAATCAGCCAAAGGCCGTCCAAACATTAAGAAGAAAATGAATCAGATATATCGAGAGAAGGAAAAAAATCGAAAAAAAACGAGAAAAAAGAAAACAAAATAGAACAGCAATATTCTACGCTGCCCTCTTTATTTGACTTATAAGGAGTATTGTTCATTTGACTTATAAAAAGTATTTTTCAGCCAACAAACAGCGACGAATCACAGCCCAACACTGAGCTTTGCTTTGGTTTCTTCTTACACTTTCAAGTCCTCGCAACTCATTCCCATTCCCAGGCAAATTAGTATACCCAATCTGGCTTCAACATCCTTAATTAAGCCCGACCAGGATAGCAATACGCCGATAAAACAATACCGTACGTCAGTAAGAACGCATGGTTTCCAATCTCAGAATACGTCTCCGCACGTAGGAGTACAGCATATTCGTTGCTTGGGGTTCAGAACTGACATTGGTGTAATGGTGGCTGGCTTTTCACAGCCACAGGCGCCCGCCGAGAGTGAGCGCGCCCTGCAGGTCCAGCCGCCAAAGGTAGCTGCCGCCGGCGTCCAGCCGCCACACATCGCAGGGCGCCACCACGGAGGAAGAGGAGCCCACGCGGCGGGGGCTCGAGTGCCGGACGCGGACGCGGCACGTGAACCCCGCGCAGGTGCCCCACGCCGGGAGGGCGCCGCCGAGCGCCACGGGCGTCTGCGTCTCCACCTCATCGCCGTCGTCCGCGGATACAGCGCGGACGAACGCGGAGTTCCTCCACGTGACGCGGCCCCACTGGTCCGACACGAACGCCGGGGCGTCGTCGGCGACGCACGCCGCGGAGGACGGCGGCGCCTCGCCGTCGCGCCACGTCGCGGTCACCTCCTCCACCGTCACCAAAGAAGCCGCCACAGCCTCGGGGCGCATCGCCCGCGGAGCAAACGGCCGTGCCCCTGCCCCTTCGGCTGGCGCGACCACCTGAGACGGCACAGGCGCCGGCGGCTCCTCTGTCGCAGCACCAGCAGCGGCCTGCTTATCCTCCACCGCCGTCACGGGCATGAGCGGCAGCAGCGTCGCGAGCTGGTGCTGCTGCTGCGGCCCGGGTGGCGGCGACAAGTCCACGGATGTCATCCACGACGAGGACGAGGACCGCGACGACGACGACTTCTCCTTGTCGCAGTCCTTACAGTCGCCCGCATCCGCCGCCGCCGCCGCCGCCGCCGCAGGCGCAGGCGCTGCAGTCACTACCGCAGCCGTGGCCGCCTTCTTGGGCTTCCGCCCCCTCCTCCCGCCGCCTCGCCCGCACACAGCCTTTCGCTTCCCTCTCCCGGCTGCACCAACGGCCGGCGCCGCCACCGGCGTCGGTGCCGGCGCGGGCGCCATGGCCGCCGGCTTAGGCGCAATTGGACGGAACTTGAGCATGATCCTCCCCATCTGCCACGCCGCGCCTGCCTGCTGCTGCGCGGCCGCGGCGGCGCCGTACCTCCTCGCCAGGCAGCACCCGCCCTTCCTCTCCATCCCCTCTCCCGACCGCACGTCTCAAACACCACACCAGCCAACCCGAGTAGGTGTGACACACACTTCCTTCTACTTTCTCGCCGCTCGCACGATGGCACTACGGCAGTGGGAGAGATAAGATACGACCACCACCGGGACGCCGACGACGACCGGGGTGCGGGAGGAGGCCCGGCGCTTTAAAACCGCGCCTGGGGTGGGGAGGCGGAGGGACACGCGTCGAGCCACGTACGTGTCGAGCGGCCGAGGCGAGCTATCATTGGCCGGCCGCGCGCCACCCGGCCGCGCGCCACCACGTGGCGGCTCACCGCAGCGGCAGGCACGTGAAAGGCCGCGCCCCGATTGGGCGCGCCGCGCCAATGGCTGCCCTGGCACGCAAACGCGAGAAACCCCAAAAATCAAACCCCACCTCGCGTCCTCCCGCTCGCTGGCGTATGGGACCCACCTGACCTACCCCACTCGCCAGGATAGGTAGGGCAGCTCCCCGGCGAGGCGGCGACGTGTCCTCGCTGCTGTCCCACTCGTGGAGTGCGCTTCGCGGACGCGTACGTAAATGTTTACTCTCACTGATGTGTGGGACCACGGATGCTCCTTGGCCCAGGTGTCGGTGCCCTGGGAGATCAGGGATTTGGGAGGTGAAAGCACGGTGGACAGAGGGGAGAAATCAAGCGAGATCATGGAGAGGGGACAGACAAATGGGAGCGCGCGCAGTGTGCAGCGCTTTTATGGTGGGGACTGGAGGATGGAACACGTACTCGTACTAGGGAGCTCTGTAGGCCCGCCACCGCTGCTTTATCTCCCTGGAAAAGACCCGGCCACCAATATTCCACTAGCCCCACACAGACCCTTGGTATCTACGGATGGCACTCCTCACCGACCAGTGGGCCCAGAAGAAGTCGCTAGATTTCTATTTTTCAACTCTCTCCCTCTCTTGGAAAAAAATAGGATTACTCGTACCATTCTCATTTTTCTATAAGCCAATCAATATTTAACCAAATATATAACTAATAACTAATCTCTTCATTTTAAATTAAGCCACTTTGATTTTTTTTATACATCGATTTTTGTTGTGCATCTGGATATAACGTATGTCTAGATATATAGCAAATTTAATATACTTCCTCCATCTTAAATTATAAGACGTTTGACTTATTTGACACCAAGTTTGACCACTTGTTTTATTCAAAAAATTGTGCAAAATATCAATTCTTTTGTCGTGACTTGCTTTATTAATAAAAGTTCATCAAGAATGACTTAAATTTGACTATGTTTGTATAATTTTTTTGAATAAGAAGACAAGTGGTCAAACTTGTGGTCAAAAAAGTCAAACGTCTTATAATTTAGAATGGAGGAAGTACAAAAAAACTCAAAGTGACTTATAATTTAAAATGGAAGGAGTAATATTTATGATATCCTAATTTTATTATATGGCAAAAAAGATAGAGATATACTATAGAAAACGATGTAGTACAACTCCCATAAGAGGTGGCAAAACTTATAATTATTTGACTTCTTAAAAAACAATTTTATTTTTGTATGTAGACGGAAAGGAGTAGTAGGGCCTGATTGGTTAGGTTCTAAAATTTGCCCCGCCAAAATTAGGGCAAGCCAAAATAAGGGCGTGCCAAATTCCGGTTGCCAAAACATAGGCAAAAAAATTGGTATTGGGCCTGCCCTAGTTTTGGCTAGGTAGATTTTGGAGCCCAACCAAATAACTGTCTAAGTTTTGAGACTATCCTAGTTTTGGCTGGGCAAATTTTGGAGCCCAACCAATCAGGCCCGTAGTTCTAAACAGCGCAATATTGTACACGATTATAGCTTAGCATGCTGATTAGTTTGCCATATAGAGGCATCCCTTTAAAAAGTATTTTATTTGTTTTGATTCATAAGTCATAAAAATCTGATAAGTCTTTAGGCGTACTTTGATGATCGATTAATTTTATAATACCTAGATTATATTATCTATTGATATAAAATCTGAAATATATACGAAATACGAATCTTTTGGTACACCTTTCATGTACTAAACAATGAATATAAGTTGGGTGATTATTGTTCGTAGTAAATTCAATAGTGTCTACTCTAAGGGATGTCTACCATGACTGTTCGTGGAGATAGACAGGAACTAATCGTGGAAAATTTGTTGGGTATTTTTTATCAAAGGTGTATTTGGTTTTCCCACCTACCCAATTCATCTTGTCTCGCTTGACAAGGCTACTCTTGTCAACAATAGAGGGCTATTTTGTAGCCTCGATTGACAACGAGTCTTAGCCGATTTAAATCAATTTTATATTTTCTTCGTAAATTCATCATCTAAGGTCCTGTTTGGTAGGGCTTCTCTAGCGGCTTTAGGAGCCGCTTGGAGCCGTTTTCGGCCAAACGGGGTAAAATAAAACGGCTCCACCAATGAAGCCCCTAAAAACGTGCTCTCACAGAACTTTGGGGTGGGAAGGAGCCAAAAATAGTGGCTTCTCTTGGCTTCACCTCGTTTTACATGGCGTTCTCTGAGAGCATATTTTAAGAAAAACTATATGTGAACCTGTTTTGCCAAACGATTTATCAAAACGGCTACAGCTCCATCCATAAAGCTGTTCATGGAGCTGAAGCCCCAAAAAAGAGCTTCATGAGTAAAGTGGAGCCGTGCCAAACGGGCCTAACCATAATTACCGAAAAGGATACCACTGGGTGGTAGTCATATATACACTTTGCGATCTACGTTTTTATTTATGAAAATATAAATTCGTTCCTATAAAATTCAAGTTCAATATCTGGAAAATACTGCATACCGAAGCGCTCTCACTGGTTCGTACTCCGTCAGGTGGCCGTGTGCGCGAAGCATAGCGCTCTAGTGCAGCTGGCCAGCGGGGGCGTGAAGCGACGGCAGGTCGCGGAGGGTGACGATCGTAGTACGTGGACGAATGGGAGCTCGGGAGGAGGCATAATTGGTGCGGATCGGATTGGACTTGGACCTGATGCGCGGGACACCGGCGGGACCCCGCCCGGCCCGAATCGCGCTGCGCGATCGCGTCTGACGTCACCGCTGGCTGGAGGTGAGAGGCGAGGCGGCCTCGCTGTCGCTGCTGCGCTTTGCGTTGGGGTCGGATTGGTTTCGCCGAGGGGCCTGCTGGCGTCGGCGGGTGGGTCGCAATGGTCTGGTCAGACGCGAGGTGGGCCCGTGCCACCTGCACGGTCTAGGGAGTAGGGACTACTAGGCCACTTGGGAGATCGATCGTCTTGGGCGGGGTGATACAGTGAAAGTGACGGTGGACGTGGCGAGTGGCCCGGGCAACCGGGTAAAGTTTAGGGTAAAATCTTTCGTACTCTACCGTGCAAGCATGCACCCTGCCTGCCATGCCGGCCGCGACAGCCACGTCCCACGTATAGTATGCTGGTAGCCTGGTATGCAATTCATAGGAGGCACCGATCGAGGCAGGAGGGTAGGTCGGTAGCCCGGTAGGTACTACTACTGCCACACGGGAGTACTACTGTTGTTTCAAGAGTCGCTACCCCATCCGTTTTAAATTATCTAAGTTTTAGAAAATACGTATAATATTTATATCTATAAATAAATTTATTAAAAATCTAGAATCAAAGATCTTTCCAACCAATTGTGTATCATAAATATTAATATTTGTTAATATATATTTTGTCAAAATTGTTTCTCGGAAAGCGAGACATATATTTTAGGACGGAGGAAGTATTTTGTTACGCTTCTCCATGGTGCATAAATTTTCAGATGATTTCAAACAACACTCTTATACCACTAATTAAGACAAGTAAATTGTCACTTTTATGATTTTTTATTTGTCTTTATGTCATAACATATCAATTTTTTATCATTGTCTGACTATAGAAATAATTATAAATTGTTAATTTTTTTTATGCCAACACATATCAGATTTTGTCAGGTTTGAGGTTTTATCTAATGGGTTTTTCATTATCGGAACCAAAAATTACAGATTGTGTCTAAAACATTGCAACGAACTAAATCTGTAATTTTAGTATAAAATATATGTAATAATCGTTGCCCGAAAGAAAACTAAAATTCAGGCACCCGAAATTTAGCAAATCCTTTTTTTAAATAATCAAAATAGGTATATATAGAAAATAGTATCGATATTTATATTTTTAAATAATTTTATTATAAAAATATATATTCCATAATCAATGCTCCTTTGGTCAAAAACGAATATAATCATGGAATGCATGTCAGTCAAACAAGTCTAGTTTGACCAAATTTCTAGTAAAGAATATTCATTTATGTTTTGAAATAAGTTTATTACGAAAATATATTTTGTAACTTACCTAATACTACATATTTTCTGTTATAAATGTTTGCACTTTTTTATAGCTTTGATCATACATTAAATCATTTGACAACGAGAATTATATTTTTTTGGATGGAAGGAGTATAATAATATTTTTTGCATATCGTAAATATTTGTATATATTATAAATTTACTCATTTTTTTAAAATAACTTCTCAAGAAACAAGACATAGACTTTATTTTGGGATTGGTAGAGTACCCGTTTACGACTTGCTATCAGTGTCAACTAGTACAAGAGCTTAGATTGTCTCCAACAACTCATGCATCACGACATGCAAACCCAAAATGCTTACTTCAGGTTGCTTTATCGGTGGAAAACGCAGTCCAACAGACGACGCAAACGAGGGACCTATTTTGGGTGAGACGCGATGCACTACCCAAATAAGCGTCGCCTCTCTCCTCGAACCCAAATCTCTGGCGCTGGTGGGGAGAGGACGCTGCCGCGCGTGGGGGCCATCTACGCGGACGTCGAGGTTGGATCCGCCGGGAAAGGGGCGCCGCCACGCCCAATCGACCGGATCCGCCCGTAGCTGACCAGAAGGGGAGAGACGGCGAGCGTGGTGCGCAAGCGCGGGTGGTGCACCCCGCCACGGCGCAGGGTCCTGGCGAAGGAGGAGGACGAGGCAGCATGGGAGTGGGGCGCCTCTCGCCGCCAAATCTCATGACCACCGGCGC